AGTTCATTTTGGGACGGAGGCAGTATTAATTTCTTTTATACATTTGATAAGTGTTCTATAGCCACCGGCGCTTCTGAGCCGCTGACCCCAGCACCACCGGGCTGCCACCTGTACCGCCGCGGCACCACCGCTGCCATCGGCACCGCCGCTGCCACCGACACCACCGCCGCTAACTCAGTGACTTTCGGTCATTGACCAGTGACTTCTACCTAACCCCAGTCACTAGCCTGTGACTGCCACCCTACTCCGGTCACTAACTCAGACTACTCGGTAACTTCCAGCCTACTCGGGTCACTAACTCAGTGACTTCCACCCAAATCCGAACACCACCGCCGGAGACACCGTCGGTAACTTCCGCCACCTAGCACCCCAACCCCTGGAACAGGACAAACCTAGCCCACCCCAACCCACAGATCTGCCCCGCCAGCCCATCCAGATCCAAACTCCAGATCCTAGGACTGCAACTAAGCCCCAATCTCACCACCGCCTGTAACCATAGCCGCCAGCTCGTCGCCCCCCATCCCAGCTTTAAAAACCGTCAAAATCACCGGTGAAGAAGAATGAGAAGAAGAAAAGTTGCAGTGAGAAGAAGAAGAGTTGCAGTGAGGCGGCGGGGCGGCGGCCAGGGCCGGCCCAGGCCAAGTGCCACCTTTTTTTTTGTAGTCCTTCTAACTAATTAGAGCCCAATGAGTAAAATCCCACTATTTAATTAAAAAGTTTTGAAGCCAGGGGAATCGAACCCTTGCCAACCTTCTCACACACGGCGGCGACGAACCAACTCAACCAAATTGGTTGATGTTAAAACTCTTTCAATTTTTTTTTGTACCAAAGAATTATTGATATAACTCATAAGATTTTAAGCCCAATACCATCAACTACAATTATTGAAATTAATATGTAATCAAAGTAATGACTATTTTTTGTATTCCATGCCATTATTAAATTAATAACCAATTAGATATTTATGAAATATTCATTAGATTTATCAACTATATTTATAATTTTTTATATAAATATTACTTTGACAAATTATCCATTAAATTCCAAACACATCTTACATTTATGAATTCTATTTTAGATAGTGATACATTAATTTTTAATTTAATATTATAAGCATTATTAAATTTTAAATAAGAGTTATTTTAGGAAAATGCCACATTTGTTTTTTGCACAGGGCCCATATTTTCTCTGGACCGGCCCTGGCGGCGGCGGCTGGAGTGCGATGGAGCGACATGGCGCGAGGGCTGTTGTCCGGTGGGTCGGCCGCAGGTAGGGAGAAACGGAGTCTCAAATGAAGAAAACTAAGCTAAGGTCCGTATCTTTTGAGAAGCTAAGCTAGGGATTTTCATTTATATATAAGTCACATTTTTGGAAAAATCAAAATGGGCCATAGTTTAGGAAATGCAAAGTCCAAGTAGTAATTTTCATGCCATCTTTTCTTTATTATTCAAGTTTCATTCGCATCATAATAAATTTCACCTGTTATTATGTCATACTTCTGAACCAGTATTGTAAAAGAGCCGCATAATTTGAGATTTAATTAAGGAAAAATTGACAAGAATAATCCCACCTTTCACTGATCTTCTCATAATAATCCTACCTTTATATAATCCCAAAATAATCTCACTTTTGCACCCTATCTTCTTTCATTGGATCCTCACCAAGTTTTTTACCTTTCTTTGAAAATCTTATATAAATAATCTCACATTTATAAAGATATAATAGAAAAGTGAAAGATAAGATTATTTATATGATTTTCAAAAAAAAGAGTAAAAAACATGGTCGGGATCAAATGAAAGAAGATGGGGTGCAAAGGTGGGATTATTCTGGAATTAGTGGTATTATTATGAGAAGACCGGCGAAAGGTGATATTATTTTTGTCAATTTTTCCTTTAATTAATCAAATTTGATGTTAAGTGTATAGATCACATTGTAAGACACGCATCATGTTTCACATACATTAAATACCATGAACACTTGTTTGGTTTGTCGAAAATCATTATTAGTGGCTCATCAACAATTTTCTCACAATCCACATCACCACATGCATCACAATTATTTGTAGTCAATAATTCACGGGGTTAATTATTATACTCGTATAAAGTAATTACTTCACAATCCTAGTGTGGTAATTACTATAATAGTTATTACTAATAGTTACATCGTATAATAGGGATTGTACATCGTAATTACTAAAAATTCCTAAATACATGTACAATCATATAATTGTACAATTGTATACATACGGGATTGACTACATCGTATTGACTACATCTATACATTGTACAATTGTATAACTGTGTCTCATATAACTACATAATCACAATTATGAATAATAGTTATTACTAATAGTTACTATAATAGTTATTACGTTTGGAATTTTTAGCTAGATGTACAATCTCTTATACACGTAGTCAATACGATGTAAATTTTGAACATAATTATAATCACTAATAGTTAATACTAAATCACAATTTTGTCTACCACTTTTTCAGTAATCATATTAGTAGGTGTTATCTTCAAGGAATGTTATTTAAGAGGGTGTTCTCAATATAGAATTCAATGGATTATCACAAAATTTTAGGTGTCATTGATTCAGAAATTTAAGGATCTCGGGCTTTAGCCCCAAGCTTCGTTCATTACTTTTTTTATCTCAGCCATGAACGAATTCCTTGAAACTCTCCACCTGTTGTTAGGGATGCACAACTTTCGGTCGCGAAGACCAAGCACCCTTCTTTCGCCAATGACCAACAGTAAACAAGATGTTTGTGGTATCATAGCTATGGAGATCTTGATATCTTGTTCTCTTTCAACCAAACAAAAATCTAGAACCAAAAAACTAACCCCGCACCAACTCTTGGCTAATAAGTATGATCAACGACTGCTGAAAAGAAAAATCCCCACTTGAGGGAAGACAACCCCATATTTCAAAGTATTTTTAATAAGTATACTTAAACATTTCTGAATATTTAGCGTTCAAATAAATTCACATTTAAATAATTAAAATGAAAAAAGTTTTTAACATAAAACAGTGAATTAATCGCAAGGTAATTGTTTGAGGTTAGAGTTTGAAAACAGTAAATAAATAAAATGATAAAAAGAAATTAACATAGCATTACGACACATGCATTCTCACAATTCTCAAAGCTGCAAAGCCTAAAGCACACCCTTTATATCTAAATAAATACAAATATGTAATACGCCGTAATTGTTTGAGGTTAGAGTTTGAAAAAACTGAATGATGAAAATTGATTTTAGACATAAATAGTATTGGGCATCAACTGTAATCATATCCTGAAAAGGATTATTACTTAGGAACAAGACGAAATAAAAAAAATGTAAATGAACGAATTGCGGCGAGAGTAACATAAAAGAATTACAAAAATCTGCTTTCAAAACTTGTAATTATTCTATTCCAAAAAAACTTGTAAATATTCAACGCACTATACTTCCTCCGTTCGAGATAGAAATTGACATTTGCTTTTGTCACGGTATTTTTGGAATTCAATTAATAGAATAACAACTGTTTTGCATGTCCTTTGATTTTTGGAGGAAATTAATGCTACCCACTCAAATGTAAAAAGTGAGTGGATAGTTAAGACATTTAATGTAAAAGAGGTTGACTAAAAAGAAAATGTGAAAGAGTAAATAGAACGTCCCAAAAAGAAGAGTGTAAAGATTTAAATGGGATGAAGAGAGTAATTTATAAACAATTTCATAAATTTGTAGAAAATTGGCAGCATAACTAATTTGGAATGGGCAAACCATGTGCGAGTGAATCCTCATAAAAATTGATTCCTTTCATTATTCAAATTCACTTTGTTGTTTTGTTCTACATATGTATTATTGTGTCCTATATATTTACAGCAATGTCTTACCTTTCAAATAAAAAGTAAATTTGGATAAATTGAGATCCAATGCAACTAAAATACACGACAATAATTTTGCATTTCAGATGTTTTATTCAAATTTGAGAAAATGTATGCTTTTATTTTACTTCAATCTTTTATCTTTCGTATTAGAAAAAATAAGATACAAATGTTAAATTTCTCATAGTTGTATACGATGATCGGAGTTAGGGGAATCATTCTGGGTGAACATAAGGATGGATGGGGTCCGAGCGGACCGACCCCGGACCGGTACTGTTAGTACCGGCTCGGGACCAGTTTTTCGGTACCGGCCCGGTTCTCCAACCGTGGTAGAAGAGTGTCGGGTTTCGGGCTTAAATTTTTGGGACATGACCGGCCGGTCCCCGTTCCGGTCCCAATCCCAACTTAAAAAAAAAATAATGGACGGGTACCAGCCCTGCCCGACCCAGGACCAGTACTATTTAGACCCAGATCAGAACCGGGTCGGTACCGGGCTTCAATTATTTAGAATCGGTACCGGTCAGGCTCGAGATCGACCCGATTCCATGCCTAGGTGAACACATAAATTGTACACATTTTGTATACATCCTCCTAATTGTTTGTGTAAATAGCTTCTGATCGAATGTTCCGTGCACAACTTATATACGATAGTATATCAACAACTTTTTCGATTTTTAAAATTTGGAAACTTAAAACTGCTATGTATGTCAGTTTCCTATCAAATTGTTGGTTAAAGATGACTTTATTTGAAATTATTTCAATCTCTGACCACATCAGACTAGACATTTAACAATTGTAAAATACAAAGAGACCAAACCAAACCAAATCAGAAAATTTCAGTTCCAAGTAAAAGCATCCTTAGAATAACAGTTTCTTTTACTTTACAATGCATTTCAATATTTTTAAACAAAATGCTACTCCAAAGGAAAGTATCAAAGAAAAAACGTAGACAAAGCACTGCCTAGGATGTTTTTATTTCAACTTCTCAAGAACATAGCCTATATAGGGCAATTATTTCATAGTAAGGGTCCATGTACTTTTTCTGATGTCAAAAAGAAGAATCAGCATGTGTTTGTGCTGATTGAGAACGAGGGAAAAAGTAATAATCAGAAGAAAGAATGACCAGTGGTGGAAATAATATGATGATAGGAGCTATATTTTCAAGGACAAGAATGTGTACTGCACTTTACATTTGGCTCCTCCTCACACAGAACAACAAAGTGGTATACCCCTTCCAAAACAAAAGGGGACATCTTAATGTGGCATGTATAATTCAAATCCCACAGTGATTGACTTATGAGAAAAGAAGGGGTAAAAAGAAGGAAAACAAACAAAACAATCAGCCAACAATCAGAAGAAATCAATCTCAAAATAATTATTATCAGAAGATGTAACACCACCACCACCACCTTGTGGTTTCGTTGTCACCACCGCCTCTTTGTCTACAAATGGTTTTGGAACGTCAGGCGGGCTTGCACACCTGATCAGGGCCCAATTCACACTCTGGAAGAACGGGTGTTGTTTTATCTCAGTGGCCCCGCGCCTGTAAGCCAGCCGGTGCTGTGGCTCCTTGACCAACAACCCTCTAATCAAGTCCCGGGCGGCGAAACTCACCGAGGGCGAATCCGGGAACCTCAAGGGCTGCCCAACAACGTTAAACAACGTTGCCCGGTTTCCCTGCCCTTTAAAAGGAGTTTTACCGAATAAGAGCTCATAAAGAAAGATTCCAAACGTCCACCAATCCACAGCACTCCCGTGCCCTTCCCCTTTTACGATCTCTGGAGCCAAGTACTCATGGGTCCCCACAAAAGACATGGATCGGGCATTTGTCGGTTCTGCCATCAGTTCAGGAAGTGGTGTCACTTGGTTGTGTATCTCAGAGGCTTTTGGCTTGGGCTTCTTCTTATCCTTCTTGGGCCTGCTAAGGAAGCGGGGTGAGAAACAGGCTGGTTGGATGCAAGATGGCTGGATCACGCAGGACGGCTCTATGCAGTAGCCTGATTTCTTTGAATCCATGTTTGTGTTCGAGGATTTTACCAGGGTTGGGCTCACCGTGCACCTTAAGGAGAGGTCAAAGTCAGACAGCATTATGTGTCCGTCTTCCCTCACCAATACGTTCTCAGGTTTAAGGTCTCTGTATATGATGCCAAGCATGTGCAGGTACTCTAATGCAAGCAGAACTTCTGCAACATAAAACCTACACACTCCCAATAAGGAGAAACCGCATAATTAATTATGGGTTGAAACAATGGCCCCATTTGGAACCAGGGAAATGCTAGGAAAATATATATAAAAAAATTAAAGATGGGAAAGAAAGATATTTTAGCGGAAACTAAAATATAATCTCAAACGCAATTGTTATATATATACATTTTGTTGATTTGTTATACTCCATATTATGCAGACTAAGAATAAAAAATAGGAAAAAACAAAATAAAAAGTGATACAGGGTATATATCTTTGCCCTTTTTTTAGGAATTGCAAACATAATAAAATACTTTCATCAACATTGTTTTCTCCTCCTAGAAATTCTAAGATCAAAACATACCCTTGGGATCCTTTCGGAAACCAGAAAATATTACGGAAAGAAATTGTTGAGAAAACCATAGAGGAAAATGGGAAGGATACATGGTGTGCAGAAAAAGAAAAGATAGGCTAACACTCTGTAAAACTTATTTTAGATATTTTTTTACTCATGATATTCAATTATTTCTAAAATATAAAAAACATACTACGCATATCATTTTCCTTTGTATTTTCCGAGGCAAAACCAAACTTGGGAAAATAATTGTCATTAGAAAAAATCCCATTTCCTACCATTTTCTTAGTTCCAAGTAGATCCATACAGAAATCATTGAATATACAAGAAGAGTATTGTGAAAAATTGGAAAGTAAAATTCAAACCTGGCAGCATTCTCAGGAAAATACTTCCCAGGCTGTCGTTGACGAAGAGCGTGCAAATCTCCACCAGGACAGAACTCCATCACTAAGCAAGAGGACTTATCACTCTCAAAATGAGAATACAAAGTGGGAAGAAAGGGATGATCCAAACATTGAAGTATCTCTCTTTCTGTTTGAGCCCTAACAAGCTTCTTACGCCCCTCTAAAGTCGCCTTATCCATCACTTTCATAGCAAAGTAACACCTCGTGCCGACTAACTCTGCCAGATAGACACTCCCTATGTCACCACACCCCAACCTCTTGATAACCCTGAAATGGTTATATCCCAATGTTCCATCACGGGACCTAACGGCTTGGATTGCTTCCCATCTTGTATCATTTGCCTTGTGTGGTTTATACATTGCACTGCTACTAAAGCTACTTGAGCTGCTCTCATCACTAACATCACTGCCAGTGCTTGCTCTGTATATGCTTGTCTTCCTACTCTCAATATCACAAGAGTTGCTAATCTCACCACTGTCACCAGACTTGTCTATACTGCTAACACACTCACTGACTTCTGTGTTAGTAAAGCTTTGTTTGGCTTCAGTGTACAGGGTAGCAGAGTAGAAACTCTGTTGAGGACTTGGACAGAATCCTGATTGAGGTACCTCCAAACACTCCTTTGACTTAACGTTGTCCTTGCTCAAAGCACCTTCCGGACACAGAAATTCACTTTTCCCTTTATTTGACTCAAAATGGGAGGAGGTCTGATCAGGATTATCAATGGATGTTTTAAAAGATTTTTTTGGGGTTGGAAGAAACTTTGGTTCAGAGTCAATAGGAATGGGAAAAGATGATGAAGATGATGATGCTTCATGTCTGTATTGTTTCATTGAAGGATGATGAGGAGGAAGGCGGCTTGTTCTGGTTGCAAAAGAAGATGCATTACAGTCTGGGACGGAATTATGACCATTGGGCAATGAGCTAATCCCTTCCACGAGTGATTCCATTCTTCTAATTCAAAGATTCACTGGAAAAGCATAACCAAGTTGAAAATAAATAACATTCATTCGTACAACTCATTGAGCCAAACTAAAGGAAGAAACAGGAAAAGAAATTTGTTCTATTTTTGTATATTTAACGCAGGTAGTAGATCTAATTTGACAGCATAGAGCTAATTATTCAGAGAATCATATAATCTGTAGTAGCGCATAGCCATAACAAACCCAAATTTACGTTAGTTACGAATTTAGAACCAAAATCAACAGCCACTGGGTTTGAATGTCTCAAAATGAAAGGAGAAACATCAAAGAATCTGAATCAAGATTTCAGAATAAAAGTTAAAAGTTCATTGCGCTATGATGTGATCATTAATGATTATCGAGATCTTTGCTGAGGAGAATCAAATATAAAAGTAAACACGTTTCTGAAGGATCGTATTGGGAGAATACCTGATGACGAACAGAGACGAGAGACTAATACAGTGTCATAACTCTTGAGCGAGAAGGCGAAAGATTTTATGTACTGGTGGAAAGAGTAATCCGGGTCCTATTCAGATCCGATCCAGCCAAGAAACTACGGAATCAGAGAAGACAACCAAAAGCTGAACTTAATTCTGAAACGGGTATCGGTGAAATATCCAGTCTTTGTCTTTTGATGGGCGGATTTGTTTTTCTTCTTGGCGTGGGCGAAGGATGAAGAAACTGCAAAATAACTCACAAAGCAAATTAAAGCATTTAGTGAAAATCTCTTTCTTTCTCTCTCTCTCTTTCTCTCTCTCTCTATTTCTCAGCGTGTCGCTTTGGTCTTCACCTTCTGCTTCAGCTTCTCCGCCTTTCTTGGTTCTGTCTTGGAGAAGAAAGAAATAGTTGACACAAAAACGCAACGATTCTTTCTGTCCTGGGCGATTATAATAAGGAAAAATTGGGAAATGGGTATGCAATGAACTTAGCAGGAAGAGGAGTGAGTGAAGAGAGAGATTTTTCCAATTAAATTCCGCCACGTCGGGAGCCCCCAGAATCCCATGCTCCTCGGAGATTCGTGCGGTAAAACGGGCAAGACTTTCTCTGATATTCATACAAATTTTTCTAATGGGTTATTTATTACTTTTAGTCCCAACATTTTATCAATTATGTTCTTATAGAATAGATTGGTCTCATTTGTTGTAGTATAATATATTAAACTCTAATTTCATCTAATTTGAATTGGTATTTAATTCGATATTGTGCATAATTCATTTGATTTTTATGACCTTAATTTCCTCCCCTTGAATTACAACCAGCCTAATAAAATAATAATAGAGGAGGAAAAAGAAAATAAATACCTAAAATTAAAGTTAGCGCCACCATTATTGCAATATGGAAGATGTGTGTCCCCATTAGAAGAGAGAATAGGGTGAAGAGGAAGAGATATTAGGATACTTTTATTTGCACTAAAATTTTCTGGTCAGGTTTGGTCTGATCTGAATCCGTCTGATTTAGTAATGTCTGATCTATGTGTGTATTTATATCTATTTAAGTCTGGTCTGATATGAGACTGGCAAAATTAATGTCAAATCCTAGAAAAATCATCCAAGTAAAAACATCCTTACTATTCAATCAAAAAGGGCAAAAAAAGAAGAGGGTAGAATTTGTAACTACAAAAATTGAATAGTAATTATCCAAAGTAGGACTAAAACATAATAAAAATTCACTAATATGATGTTAAGTTTTTTACTCCTTAAATATGACTATATTAGTCATATGTAGAAACATAATAAAATTTCATATTATTAATACCCTTCTTTTAATTAATATCTAAAATCTCTTCCTTTCCTTCCCACTCTCTCTCTCCTGCGCTCATCTGTCGAATTTCTTCCTTGTGCCTACGAAACCGATCGACTCCCCAGGCGACTCCTCTGTGCATCATAGCCCACAGCCGCCGAGTCTCCGCCTCACACCGTCACTAGTGACTTCACAGCACACATCACATGTTTCTCCTCCTCCTCCTCCTCCTTCTTTGATCTCTTCCTACTCCTCGTGTTCCTCTGTTTTCTCGGATTTGACATTGATTTTTCCGATTTCTCTCATTTTCTTCTGTTTTTCTAGGATTTGACATTGATTTTGCCAGTTTTCGGACTTCTATTTTGTATTATCTGATTTCTAGTTTCTTAGGTTTTTTTAAAAAATGGTTTTCCAAAAGTTTGGATGATGGTTTCCTATTCTGCCAAGTTTATGACATAAATATGTACATCGACAATTGTATTATGGCAAAATGCTTCTGTATAAACTGCTTTTTCTGTCATTAGCTTTGTATTTGAAATTTTCGATTGTATTAAAGTGCTTATTTCATTATATTTTTTGATTTTCGAAGATTTGTTTATTGATTTCATTTGTTTTTCAAATTTATGGCAGTTTTGTGTTAAGCTTCCAAGATAAATCTGTCAACTTTATGGCAGAAATGAAAAACCTTGTTCATGGCAGATCGATAGTATTCTTCAAGGTTAAATCTGTCAACTTAGTTGCAGGTGTGTTACCCCAGAGTTTTGGCGGTGGCCGTGGTGCTCAGAGTTGGAGCAACGACGCACCACAGATGACGGAGGATAGTGACGGAGGAAGATGGTGACGTTGGCATATTGCAGCTCTGGTTGGGAGCCCGGGCGACGCCATCCGGCGGCGATGTATGTGGCATCGTTGAGGAGACGTCGTATGGTGGCACTTGTGGGGGTGCTGCAACCTATGTTGCATAGATATGGATACACCGATACGCGAATACGGGTATGACGATATGACAACTTCAAGAATTATAGGATACAGGTACGAGGGTATATATTTATAAATAATAATAACATAAGGTATAATTTGAATATATATATAATTTAGAGGTTCATAAATGAAACAATAATAGTACCATAAGTTAACAATTATAATAAAATTTCAAAATTTAGACTAAAAAAACTAAAGTACTGATATTTCGATTTAAATGTAAATAACATTTTTAGTTCTCTATTTGCATTTACATCTAAGTCTTTTAACAAGATTGATTTCAATTAAAGCTCATCAAGCGACAAATTGGCAAATTATATTAATTCAATATTTTTCACACTCCGAAATCATCTTTACTAATATTCCACATCTTGTGGTCATTTGACGATTACTAAATTTTTGTCATGTCGTGTATGAAACCAGGGTTATAGAGTTAGATACGCGTAACGGTACACGGATACGGGTATCGAAAGTGTCCATATTTTTGAAAATAAGTCCAACACTTTTATTAAATTACGGATACTGACCCAATACGTACAAGACGCGTATCAGTGACTATCAGTAATGGATACATATCGGATACGCGGATACGACATCGGGGTGAAGTATCGGTGCATGATAGGCTGCATCAAACTATTCCGACAACGTCAGCATCAGATGATGGCAGTAAACAGCACCGGCGAGGGCATCGCTTGGCAGCGTCGGTAGTGCTGGCGAGGGGGGGCGGGGCAGTGGCTCCGGCTATGGCGGAAACAGTGCTACATACTGCTTGCAGCTGAAACTGTAGGGTTTCAACATTTTTTTTATTTTACATTTTTAAATTCAAAAAATTACAACAGGGGTATTTTTGTCCAACTATGATGAATTTGGTCATATGAAACATAATTTAGTTTTTTTATCCTATTTGTGCATACAGATATACTTTTAGTCCTAGATAGGTAATTTACTCAAAATTGAATTTGGAGATGGGTGTAGGGAGAGAATAGAAGAAGAGGTTGGAGGCCGATATGAGGGATACGAGTAAGAAAGAGCAATGAGGATATCCTAAAAATGACAAAGCTCATACTAAGAACGAATGCCTATAATGACAATAAAACACATTAGTTCTATGTTTTGATTTTATCTATTAGTAAAATGTACAAACAAATGAAATTGGATTTTGTCTACTAGTATTAAATAACTTCAATGTTTCATATTTTGTGTTTACTCAATCACTAATTTTAACCAACTGACTTTCAATTTATTTGGAGATAGACACTACGAAATTACTTTTTCTATATTGGTTTTATTGAATAGTTAAAATCAATATATTACTAATAATGGAGCAATCTCTTTGGTAAAATTGAACTGTTAACATGATATAGCAATGAATTGATATTTCATCAACAAAACAACATCCAGGCCTTACCCCCAAAAGAATAATATTTCATGTAAAAAATATTTAAAATGCCATTAAAGAATAAAAAAGTCATTTGGTATGTAATTAGAATTACAAGAATTTTGCACATCCAAACAAATAAAATTCTATCAACAAAAAAATCGAGACACGTGCATTTTATCTGTTAGTGGCGGTTTTTAGGTACACAGATGACCTTGGGAATCTAAAGACATTTTGAACGACTCGTGATTTACATCTTTGAAGGGGTTATACATAATGTATTCTTAAGATATGAACACGCGCGTGAAACAACTTGATTTATAAACGAGACAACTTGTAGACTCAAAATTTGCTCTCTTTCATTGCTACCGATAGGCTATTTTTTAAGCACTGAAACTATAATTTGTTTCATTTTCTAAGTATACCAAATGTGTGAGTATTGGTGGTGGTGTGAAGAATGTTGGTCTGCTTTTGTTTTTGTCCTACACAGTTTAATTTGAAGGGATAAATGTTTTATAAAATTGAAATTGGGACTTAATTTAATTGGGATTTGACATTTGTGAACAATACAATACGCCCACGAGCATTCCCTGTTTGGAGTTTCTCCTTCCCATGCTCATTTGTTTCACTTCAATTAAAGGAACAATGTGTCTCCGCTTCACAAACTTGGTGTGGAATAGGAAGTTCTCAGATTCGAGTTTTTTTTGCTACCATTGAAATATAATAATAAATAATGCATTAGTTAATAATATAATAACACACGTAGTATATGATATGACAAAATAAACACAATAGATAAAGATGTCTCAACTTATACGCAATGACCATATTAATGACGGCTTAGTGACTATGATTATGTTCAATCTTATACTATGCTTGTACGATGTTAAACTAATACTAATACGAAGTAGTAACTATAATTACATTTTAGGATGTTTTCACTTGGACTGTTTTGAATCCCATATCAGATCAGACCAGACTTAAATAAATCACATTTGATCAGACCAGACTTAAACAGAGCAGATCAGACCAGACAGATTGGTACAATACCCCCATGAAGAAATGGAACCGAAACCCGTTATGGCCATAGGCCCGCCGGCACGTGCCGCACGACATCACATCCTTGGATGGTTCATATTGGCAACCAGAGAACTCTTGGCCGACATGCACGGTTTAGTTCGCGGGAAAACGAAGATTTTGGCGGGAACTGCACTTAATGCACTGCATATGCAAGATTTTATGGTTGGAGTATTAGCCGGTAAAGATCATCCACATCATCACTACTACTTATCTCATGGTAGTAAAAATAGTAGCATTTATTTCATCGTTAGAGGTCGACAACTTGTATTCTCTAGTTGTAGTCTTTCTCCCTACTCCTTCTGTAATCACAACTTCGATTAGAGACTCGAGACTCGGGTCGGTAGGGTGTGCTGTAATCGTTCTAAGTCCTTAATAAAACTCAATCCACATACCTTTTCATCTTTAATTACTTGCTAGTACTTGTGCGATAAAAAAAAGTCCATTAAACTCATTAAAATATACAAGCTTCCATTAAGCTACGAAAGCCCGAGGAAAAGTGTTGAGTCCTTGGACCTAGAGGAATAAACTTCAACACTCTATATAACAACGCTTGATAATATAATATTTTTATCCAATGCATATATATTACGTAGTATATACAAAGGCCTTAAATTTGACTTAGAAAGTGTTTTATTAAACTAATTTCTCTCATAGGTCATATATGTGAAGATTATATATATAGATATATTTTTTAAATTTATTTGTCTTGGATCACATAATGGATGAATTGTTTGCATCAAACCCACCTTTACTAATTTTCACCATTTACTGGAATTGGTTTTAAATTAAAGTTTAAAATCAGAAAAAGTCCCAAAAAGAAATATATTTTGTTAAATGCAATTCTCAAAACACAAAATA